ATTTCATCGATCGCAACACTAAAACAAACCCGATCAATTCATATCGCGACACTAATTCAACAAAAGAAAACGACTTAAATAAAAAGTAATAAGAAATCACGCTCAGTCATTTTCGCAACACTACCCTGAAAATAAAGAAATGATCTTAATGCAAACACGATCTCATCATTCGCAACACTACTCTGAAAATATAAAAATGATCTTAATGTAAACACGATCTTATCATACGCAACACTATTCTCCAAGCAATTAGGAAGATTAATATTGACAATTTACAAAGCTAATGCAACCCGTGATCTAGTCTCATCCGCAACACTAATTCAATCCGCGATTTTGCCCAATATTGCTGGTCGTTGGGCCGATATGACGGCCAATATACAAACTACTACTACAATTACAGGCGAGTACAGTGAACAAATATTTAGTAATGACTCCACATCCGAAGATGCAGAGCCATTCGTTGCTGCCCTCTTGAGTACACAGTTTGTGCTGGGCCTCTTCTTTTCTTCGGCGGTCCGCCCCCTGAAACCCTAATGCTGCTCGGTTGTGGACGACCAACGACTCGAAGAGTCTGTATGATCGTACCACGAGTGCAATCGAGCAGGTCGTTCGTTTCGACAATCCTATCCTTCCGACCGCGACCGCGACGACGACCCCCTTGGGGTTCGCCGAATTTGAAGAATCGAAATCGAAATCGGAAGCAGACAGCATGCTCCGTCTGGACCAGTTTCGAATCGACGCTACAAATTATCCCGGTAGCAGGACTATCACGCGAAACCTACGCGAGCTTACCCCATCGGAGAATGTGATAGCCTGCCCCGGCCCCTACCTACTTACAGTCTACTCGCACACATTCACACACCAGAAAGTATGCTACCTGCCTACCTAGCCCTATATTTAAAAAGAATTTGGCAAAAGACAGATTCTCACCAACACACAACACTCCACGGTTCTCAAGCATGCGCCCGGGTGCAAATCAACCGGACACCTAGAGAGGACGTCCCGGGACGCCTCCGACACCCGAACGTGATATTCAACTTGCACACTCTAATGTACGTACCATTTTCCTGAAATCGACTGGCAAAGGCTAGCATCCATTGCGAGAATAGAAAAATTGTTTAAGCAATATACGTATACTTGGTACACTTTATATCGATTACGCGTTAATTTTCTCGTCTGATAGCGAGATACTCTAAACCGGTACATATTCCATGGAAATTTTATTATAAACATTGTATAAAGCAAAGGAATATGTACGACCGATACCGGAAATTGTGCGAAATTGTTCCACGGAACAATTACAGATGAAATGTTAATTGATAGAAATCTAAACGACGCAATTCCACTGCCTAATCACACACACACATAAGTGGAAAATACGTCGTGCACGGTAAGCTAACGCATTGCCAGTCGCATAGACATGTTATTATTATATGAAATCAAGTCATCGTTCCCCGTTGCTCTCGCCCAACCAAGTAGCACCTGGGCACGTGAAAGGGTTCGAGCAACGAACACGGAATAATTATCCTGAAAATCCTAACTAAAATAATTATTACTTTTTGCTCTTCTAACGGGCTACTTCTCTTTTATTCTTTTTCATTTCATTTTGCAATAAAAGTGACTCGACTTTGTATTAATAAAAATTGAAAATCAAAGATTGACTATTTATTAATATTGTAGAATTTAGTTATTAAGACTCTAAGCAAGACTCTGCAATTAGATAAATGACTCTATGTATTGAATAACCCTCGGGCGATCCCGTCGTCAAAGTCAATATAAGATAACATAAGTGTAACAAACATGTCACTTTGACGCAGAAATCTACCCGTCGCGAAACGCCTTCTTGTACATGGTCTGTAATATCATTTTTTTTAGTGTATCAAAATACACTACTTAATTTTTATTTATGTCTTAGAGCAACGTGGTAGTACGTATTTCTGATATAATTCAGTACAAACTGTTAATCTAGAATTGCATATTCTCAAGTAAACTGATATATTATATACTGTATTCAAATAGTAAATAAATTTAAGTTATATTCATTTAGTTATTTGTCTACAAATGACGGTATAACTGTTGAAAATAATAATTAACAGACTAATGGGTGAAATAAAATTTTATTAAATACTAACTATCATAAAAATTAACTCTAATACCAAAGGTGTCCAAATGCCGCCCACGAGCTACAAGCAATTACAAGCTTCCCCTCGTAGGTTTCCCCGACTACCGACCTCAGATTGACTCGAGCGAGTCAATCCAAGTCCCATAGTCAGGGTACCTCCGGAGGGAAAGAATGCTGCTCGCAAGAGTAGATGGACACCTCTGGGCCTGCCCTTTTTTAAAGGACAGAATATAAATACTCATTCCTTCTGAGTATATACGTCGACCATACGAATATGTTTGTGGAACACTATACATGCTGGTGAAACACAGTAGTACCTTCCCTGCATTTAACGCTCACACTCCATTAAAGTGGTCGTGAGTACTCGCCAGTACGTCTCATTACTCTACCCGTGTACGTAACCGTATGCGTTCTTTGCCAGTGGCA